TACTTAAAAATATTCATTGTGTTGTAAACTATATAAATTGTTTACGCATTGAATTATAATAATAATTAATTAATGTAATTTATAATGACATTAAATCATTACATGTACATATAGCGTATGCGATGTTCAGGGCTATTGTCTCAAGCCTATTATACTGCTGTGTACAGAGATAAAATCAGTAGATAATGTCGGTAAAGGTGTGTCACATACGTGATACTATAACATTTGAATGTCTGATTTAACCGACTTAAAAAGGAGATATTTCTAAATAAACCAAATAAAAAAAATTGAGTAGATTTAAAAAAAATGAAATTATAAAAAAAGTGGTGGTATATAGGTATTTATTATTATTTTAAAATATTATTGTATCATGAATTTCATACAAAATACACGAAGGCAGTAGGGCTCTACAATCGCAGCCTTAACGTGACTGGATAGTGGGTAGTCAGAGACGTCAACTTCACGTCACTTAACGTCACGAATGGAGGCGAGCACTAGCGTAGGTCCGATAGATACGGCTGAAAACTGTAATTTGGTCTAAGTATTACAATACTTATTATTAGTGTAAGTGAAACGGCTGGACGGGTTTAAATAAAGTGGAAGTAACACATAGGCTACTACGAGGTACCTAAGGGACATTTTCGAGCAAAGCGACAGTATATCATTAATATTAATAATATATTGTCTTAAACATGACATCTTCAAGCCAAGTAGACCTTTCTTAAAATGTATTTTTTTCAGTATTCTCCATAATATTATCATCTTCACAATCCACATATTATCTCAGAGAGATCAGGCATAGTGCGAGCGCAGCCTAACTCACTTGTATAGCTAAGCAACGTCAACTCAATGTCACGATGTCACGTCCACAATGACACCGCGCGTCTATCGGCAAGTGGCGAGTAACGTCTCTCTGTCCCTCACTGCCGTGACAGATTCACCTCATTTGAACGAGTTAGATAAGAACTAAGTGGTTCTAGATCATATTGATTCTGTCACTAAACTGTAAACCTAGGAAAACCTGGTTTTATAGTAGATAGGCGAAATTATATGGCGATATACCTTGAGAATTGATTGGTAGCATCTCAGCATAATGTTTTATTATCTATCTAATAACAAAATCAAACCTATCCCACGGGAACTGTACATTTTTCCAGGATAACAAATAGCCTATGTGTTATTCTGATGTATGAGCTATTTAAATGATTGTAAAGTTCATTAAAATCCAATCAGTAGTTTTGAGTGAAAGAGTAACAAACATCCATACATCTATACGCACAAACAAACAAACTTTCGCATTTATAATATTAGTAGAATACTTATACATAGAATAAAGAGGTAAACTTTGTTTGTGTGTAGGGGTTAAACTCTGAAACTACTGAACCGATTCCAAAAGTTCTTTCACTATCAGAAAGCTACACTAACCCTGATGAATATAGGCTATACTGCCTCGGTGGTGTAGTGGCTAGCATGTATGGCTGCACACCCGGAGGTCCTGGGTTCGAATCCCGGGTCAGGCCAAGTGTAGTTATTGAGTCTTTCTGTATGGTAAGCCTCAGTAACAGTCCGGAGTTGGGAAGTTGGCGGTGTTTCACCCCCGTGCCTCGGAGAGCACGTAAAGCCGTCGGTCCTGCGCCTTAACTCTCACTGGTCGTGTCAAGCAGTCGTCCCACCGGAGTATGAGAGTGATAGGAATAGAGAGTGCACTTGTGTCTGCGCGTACACTTGTGCACTATAATATCTCCTGCGCAGTCGGCTAATCTCAATGAGATTGGCCGCCGTGGCCGGAATCGGTCAGGAGAACATCATCATATTTTATTTTGACTTAAAAAAAGTTTTAGTTTTAAATCTTAATATTTGGAAATTAAGCCAGAGTAAAGTGCGCTAAATAGCCGCTTTACCGGACTGCGCTGGCCAGATCGTTGCATGTACCTATACGAAAATAAATGGGGCGAACCGGAGTACAGAGATATATACAGTACTAGCGGCTCACCCTCGCTTCGCTCGGGTGTGTCGCTAGGTACGTTTTAAATAGATATAAATAGTTATTAGCCAGCGTTAACCATATAAATTTTAATTTTTTTTTTGTTAATAATATTGACATTAATATTTATACGATATTAGCGTCAGTCAATTGTTTTGCCTTCCCGGAACCTCTCCGTACTAGAGTTCAAATTGACTTTTAAGTATGATTACGAATCTTTTGTATGGGAGTATAGAAAAGTGTTGTTTTTAGACTTTTTCAGGCATTTTTTTAAATTTTTCTCTCGGTAAGAACCATTCTCGTACTTCAAGGAATATTATAAAAAAAGAATTAGCGAAATCGGTTCAGCTGCTCTTGAGATTTGCGCTTACCAACACACTCAGCAATTCACTTTTATATTATAGAAGATATGTACCTACATTTCATAAAGGATATTAAGAAAATTGAGGCCGTAGTTTCATTTGTTTGATGTGTACATGTCTAATAAGATTATGTCAAAGTATTAATATTGTTAAACTAAGAAATAGTATATATTAATAACAGACTTTATATGACTTCTTACTAAATGATTTTATTAGGTAATATGTTTTTAATTACTACATATTTTCTACTTATATATTTAATATTTATTCTGTGTAAATGTAAAAAATAAAAGGCTTCATTATTTACTAGCGACTCCCTCGCTCCACTCGGGTTCGTCCTTAGTTACGTTTAACATTTAGTATAGATTTCTCAGAGATGAGATATTTTCCCCTAATAAAAAGTATCATATATGTTGACCCGGAAATCCATCTATCATCATACCGAATTTCATTAAAACCTGTACAGTGGTTTTTCATGTCATTATTGATATGAATAACTTAGATGCGTAAATATTTAATTAAATAATTTTACTGTTTGATGAACCCTCAGAGTGCGAGTCAGACTCGTATTTATCCGATCTTCTTATTTTTTTTATTACATTAACAATTATAAGTATATGGAAATTAATAGGCAACTGTGTGAAGTGACAGCCGCTTCAATAAAACCATTATAAGTTATCGATTCATTTATTATTCATACTTCGTACATTTACAATCGGCTATGCTACGGATTACACGTTCTCTAAATATGTACTTTAGTATAACATTACATACACTAGCGCTATTGAACACTAACTTTAAGTTCTTCTCCAGATTTTAAATCGATCAATTGAGTTTTAAAAAGATGCTATTTCAGAAATACACTGAGGAAAATAAATTAATTGTATGATAAATTTATTAAAATGTCCATCTTTTATATAATAAAATATTTTAAGGAAGATTTTCTATTTAAAAGATAATACAAAAATATCAACCAATCGATGAAAAATCTATGTTAACAGTCTTAAAATATAAGAAAATTTTATATACATACAAGTTTAAGACTTTGGGCTGAATATTTATTTCGTTTTACATAACTTTACTTTAAGTTCAATGCACATTATCGACTATTTAAATAAAAGATTAAAAATTACGAAGAATGGTGTAGTGGGCTATTGTGTGTATGTACAGCAATAACCAAATATATTTACAATTAAAAATATTATCAAGAAATAAAAAAGATAGGTGATCATTTTAAAACAGAAATACACTTAAAAGTCAGATAATATTTCAGAAGCCTGTTATATGAAATTTTACGATGACACCATACATTAATGCATTGATAATAATGTTATATAAAGACAAATAGGTTTCTTTTTTTAAAAACTAGCTAATCTCCCATACTCTACACTTAACTAAGCTATAAGGAATGTAGAGACTCGATGAATTATGTATTTACTTACATCCTAAATATTATCTATAAATTTTAACTACTAGTGATTTGACTTTTTTTATTCAATACGTATAATAGGTACTCGGTATTTACACGCGCGTCTAACGCCGGACTTAGCTCTTTAAAGTACATCATTAAAGAAACACATATTTTACAATTATTCATGTCTAGACTACTTATTATTTTACCTGCATTTGTATTGTGGTTAATGAAGGAAAAGTAAGTGAATTCTATAAAATAGTAATTATTATTAGTTTTTTATCAAATTTAGATTTAACACAAATTAGATCTAACAAAAACGGAATATTTGAACCATAAGTCGATGCAAACCTAGGATGTACGTGCAAAATGTCGAAAATTTATGATAACCTTTATAGTCTTATGTTTTAGCTCTTTGAATATAACACAAAATATTCGTTTCAAGAATAAGTAACCAACAGTTAATAGAAAAAGAGTTTTAATTTATTAATTATATAAAACAACGTCAGCTTCTTATGTATAGTGCTATATTGTATAGAATTCATTAGAATTCATCTTTGACTGAGACATTATGAGAACTATACTTAAATTCTTAATTTTCAGAACTACATTATGTTACTATACATATTTACAATTAAATCTAAAGTAAGTAAATAATGACTTCGAACAAAGTGCTTGTAAATTTATATTTATATTTATTGATAGATCATTTATTTTTGAATAACTTGACAAAAACATTCAATTTTTTTATAAGAATAAGTTGATAACATTAAAAATTGATATAAATCGTTCTTATTTTCAGTTATCATCTAAATATTATCATGACATTTTCGACCTACTCATGAAGTGGATACGCGCAAAATGATTTAAGTTATATTTATTTACATCGATTTATAAAATCCATTTCTACGTTATGACCTATAAAGGTGCTAACTATCAAGAATATTAGTAATATACACAATCGAATGTTAATTCTAGCCATTATTCTAATATATATGTATATCTTCAAATAAAACTGAATAATTTTATTGTAATAAACCACTGTAAGATATATAATTAAATAATTTCTATATTAATATTTAGGGCACAATAATCTTATTTATAACCCCACAATATTACTTTTATTCCGTCAATCAACGACCAAGTTGGGAGGCCTTTGCATATAAATATTGAAGTTTAAAACACAGTTCAATTGAAAATGGCCACGTACTCCTTAGAGCACGGTCCAGTATTTTAAGTACTAATCTGAAAATCCCTCGGTATTCGTATTATCCGATGTTGGAGAAGTTCCAGGAGATGGAACTTGGAGCTGTCTGCCGTACATCAGCTCCGACGGTGGCAGAAATGATGATAAGTATTCAGGAGGAGGTCTTATGACAGTTGGCATGTATCTGGTACCACTGTATGGTGGAGTCAAGAATCTTCTAGAAGGAGAAAACTTGAAACTTTGGTTGGATAATGGAGAAAAGGCAGATCTTGATTGATAATTTTGCATATAAGACTCGGGAGTCAAGTTGTAGGTTTGCTCAGGGCCGTTGAGCATGGTCTCCATCGCAGCCACGACGTCTCCCTTACATCTTGTAAGAATTGCGTCAATTTCCTGACGACTGCGTTTTGGGAAAACTTTGATGAGCACATCAACTGGTGATTTTTGGAAAGGGGCTGGATCTTCGGACTCGATTGGACCTTCAGGTTTCGAGCGTCGGAATTTGAAATTTGGATTTTCCCACTTTTCATCTTCTTCCTTTTTAACTTCATCCTGTCTCTGTTCCTTCATAGACAGGTTTTCTGGTGTAAGAGAAGGTTCAGAATGCTCGAGTTCTTCCTCTACGTTAAGTTCATGGTCAGAGGGCGACCGAGGTGGTGGGGTGGAGAGGGGCGGGGTCTGTGCGGGGGTGGTCTCCTGTGGGACTTCAGGTGGTGATGGACTGGAACATACTTCTGTGATGCGTGCTCGTTTGTGAACTGTTGACAAAAGAAATGAAATTAAAAATACAATTTTTAAATTTTAGCGTTCCATAATTATGTAATAATTAGAGTACGGGACATAAATTTGTATTCGTAAGTGGCTATATACCCTCGAAAGCTAAATTGCTTGCGTCGGGAATGAGCTACATAGCCATTAACGAATTTACGCGTTTAAGTCCCGTATTGTATTTATAATGAAATTAAAGACATTACATTTTTTGATCATATGTATTTTTTGATATATGTGTGTATCTAATCCAAAAAATTAGTCATCATTTAGTAGAATAAATAAGTGAGAAGCTCTTTGTCTAAGATATTTTTAAATTAAATAACCAAATATGAACAAGATATAGTGTTTTTTTTAAAATCGACAAAGTCAAGCATTCTTTGAAACATTTTGTTTTAAAAGTCCACAAAAATACATCGAAAGTTCATTTTCTTGAGTACACAGCGTACAAGAGAACAAATACAGTCGCGGATAGAAGTGCATGCGACAAATAAAAGAGCTTCAGTGCGCACGACTGAGTCTTACAGTCACACTACTTGACTCGTGAATGAATGTGTAAATGCTAAGTAATATGAACCTTTTGTTTTGTTTTGAAAATTTATTATTTCTAAAAATTTTCCATCTAACATAACGTTAAAATATAGGCAAAGGCTTCATATAGTTTCAGCCCATTTGGATTTATTGTTGCAGCTTTCATTAAGATTATTACTACACATAAAAATAAATACATTTACATTTATCCTTAAGTAAACATTTGAATGAAAGTTTTTTATTTGTTTTTATTAGGAGTTTTTTTCTTTTTGGCTAGTTAACACGTATCTACTCTACAGATATTTTGTCTTTGATAATTTAGTAAGTATGTTACAAATTGTTGTTGATGGAAATGTGTTAAATTAATTATATTGACTCATATGCGGGGTATCTGTAATATTTTGTTTATCAATGTAACTTCGATATTTAAAAGAGCAACTGTCAAATTTCTCGCCGGCTCTTCTCAGCAGAACTGCTTTCCGAGCCGGTGGCAGCTTCCTCACGGACTGACTACACTGACGCTCTTTTAATTAAATTGACGATACAAAAGGGCTTTTAATAAGTCTATTTGAATAAAGTTTCATTTTATCTCAGTGTACGTATGAAAACTTCAATTCTGAAGGTGGATTTTAAAGTCAAGAGGTAATACAACAAACAAAAAACTTACATTCACATTTGTAATACTATATAAAAATTCAAGAGACTTCAAAATAACAAAGCCTTAAAGCTTAAAACAAAGGTCACAACTTCAACATTAACAGAGTACTAACACTAAAACAATATTGTCACGAGTTACGCGCGACTGGGACGGGCGAACTGTGAGAGTATAAAGGCAAAACCTTTTAAAGGCCAACGATCCTTATACTCGTAGTATAAAATACTTATGGGGATGATAATTTCATTCATGTTACAAAAATATTTATTGTATTATCATAGATAATTATTGAATAGAGCAGAAAAGGCAGGTTTCAAAAAATAACGATTGTATTAGAAAAAATCTTCACCCTCTAAGTACCATTTAGAGCAGAGTAATACATACTAAGTTAAGACAGAGATGGAGATATCAATCTATACTTGAAAAACTGTGGATATTCAAAAAATGCTTTTGTGTCTGTATGAAAGATGAACAAGTCTAAAACCATGTTGACGTATGTATTTATAATAGGTACATAATATAAGTAAGATTTTAGACGTTACATTAAAATAATATCAATATTAACGCTTGAATTGTATGTATTAGAGAACTCTGCCCACCTGAGCCTAAAGTGCAGTAATAGACATTTTGGTCGGTTTTGAGTTAAATATATATTCTAAATCCCCATTTTAGTAGCTATCAGTCAAATTAATTCTTTTTTCTGTAGCGCTAATAAAAGTATTTTATTTTAATGTTTTTTCGGAAGGTGTAACAGCAAAAATATCACAAATCTGTTAAAATATTCCATGTTTACCAGCTAAACCGCAGTATAATTAATACTGCACAAGATTTTTCTCTGTTTCCTAACTAAACTGCAGTGTTTTATCATATTTTATGGCACTTAAAATAGTAGTTTGTTCTAGGAGATTCAAGAAAAAACTTATTAAAATGCAGTATTATTCGACTCTATACAAATTGATTATACTGCAAAGGTTAAGAAAAAATATTTTTTATTTATATTCCTAATTAAAGTGCAGTATTAACATTCCATACTGCACATTAACTTGTGGGGGATTTTGTAATTTCTTGTGAAAAACTAAAAGACATGCAGTATTTAATAACTTTACTGCAGTTTAACTTGTAGGATGTTTTGTAGTTGCTTGTAAAAGACCATTTAGTTTACAATATTTATAAATTTTACTGCATATTAGTTAGTTTGCTTCATCCAATTCATACTACCTAAAATACTTAAAGTCAAATACTATTCCCTAATACTGCGTTTTAATAGGTAAAATTATTAAAATATTAAAACACAGGACAGGCAATATCGCGGTTTGAGGCAGTCTCCTTAATCTGTGGCTTAAGGCTGACTTGACGTGCCATGCTGTGTCTGTACCAAAGAGATATGAGAGAGAGAGAACTAAGGAGAACTATTTCTCGTATAAAAAGTGACCGCTGACAAGCATTAAATTGGTGGCGCCACAGAAAACAAGTATATGAATCTATACATCTATACAGATAAATAAAATTGTAGTGTCTGTTTGTAATGTCAAAATAAACCTTTTTACTAAATGCATATGAAATTATATACGGTACTTATAAGAAAAACTAATTTTTAAAATTTTTTGTCTGTCTGTTTGTTCCGAATAATCTCTGAAACGGCTGGACTGATTTTGACGGACTTTCAGTGGAAGGTAACTGATGTTATAGGGAGTAATATAGGCTACTTTTATTTAAAAAAAAGAAATAGAGTTCCGCTCAAAAAAAAGTATCCAGGGACGAGTGAGGCGAGGGTGAGTCGCTAGTTTAAAACATAACGTCATAAAAGTAAGAAGGTGAATTAAACAAGGAAAGAAAGATTTCCGCTTTGCTGTGGCGCACTTTTCTAAATAGTTCTAGCATAGGCAAACAGCAATATAATTATATATTATTTTCAAGTAATAATAATTCAGCACACTTAACTCCGTTAAAAACTACTAACTTCACATCACATCTACTTGCTACGCTAGTGCTGTAAAGCCTAGTTCGCATTAAGCTAGTATTTTAGTCTAGTAGCGAGTAATTTAGTAGCTAAATTACTCGCTACTCACCAAAAATCGTTCGCACTTTGGTCGAGTACAGTTTACAAGTGAGTGGTGTTTTGCAAGATGAACAGCCTACAACGCAATAAAGTAAATAAACTGATTAAGCTGATCGTAACGGCTATTTTAGAAGAGGTGGATGAGGAAATTTGTGTGATTAATAAAAAGAAGCTATGGGTACGAAAATGGATCGAAAGACAAGATAAACTAGGAGCTACTAATTGTCTTCTTTCTAATGAACTCGACTAATTCGACAGGTTCGTACTTGTTTAGCCGGTGAACCAGTGAGCTCGGACGCGTGGTGGGGGCTGCTACTCGCCCAAAAAAATAGAATAAAATGGATTGACTCGACTAAATTACTTACTAAACTAATCGACTAAATTTTTAGTGTTCAGACACGTTTATTTACTAAATTACTCGCTACTAGACTAAAATACTAGCTTAATGCGAACTAGGCTTAACGGTGAGTTTCTGAGCTATAATTGGCTGCTCACTACTGGACACTTTTTCAACCTGTTTCCCATATAAGTTAATTCTCCTTAGTTCTCCCTTCCATAATCTTTTCAGACTATTATTTTTGTAAGACAAGAATACTCATTTAGTAATTAGTTATGTTCAGAAGAAAGATTTTATGTAAATTTTATTGATCCATGCATGAGAAATACATGTGATATAGTTTTATGGTGGATTAACTAGTTAAGATTATCAACATCTTGTAAAGATTGTTATATTGTTAGTCATATAAAACAATTTACACTATTAGATTATAATGTACAATGTTTTGATGAATAGTTTTAATAGTCATAGTCATAAATGCATGTCCAGTTTTGTTTAAGAAATTACATATTTTTATCAAAATTAAAGGTAATTTTATATTACTATAAGTGTGGAATATCAGTGTTTTGTTCAAAAAAACAGATTAAATAGCAGTATTTTCATAATATTACTGCACTTTAGTTAGTAACAATCATGGAAGAAATGTCTAAAATGCAGTAATAACAGGATTTACTGCATTTAAAACAGTTTTTGAAAAGATTATACAAATAAAGTGTGTGTAGTAATAGGGGCAAAAAAATTAAAATTGCCATAATTATAGTTTTTTATAAAAAAACTAACGTAACAATGTTTAGTATTTTAGTTTGGTACATATTCTTTCACTTTCCATTCAAGGTTTTATCGAAAAGTCTCTTTTTGATATATTTTTATGGATTCTAAACTTTAAGCGCGTTTTTCTCGAATTCGTGTTTTTGCTGTTACTGCACTTTAGGTTCGGGAGGGCAGAACTAGCCGACCCGCCAAGCATTATCATTCTAAGCAATAAGTTTTTATCTTCTTTAAAGTATTGCAAAAAATTGTACACAAACAGTTTTTCAGTTTTTCCTTTTAACCTTGTTCCGAGTAAGACAAATATTTTCAAAAAAAAAACAATTAGCTAAATCGGCCCAGTCGTTCTCAAATCATACGTTTTATTTATTTATATAGAGCGAAAAAATGGCATAATTCTTCGTAATAAAAAATACTATATGTTTTTAATATTCCCTGAATTAATCCATCCAATGAACAAACCTAAAAATCGCACAATTATATCATATGAAAAAAAAAATACACCTACGACATAAAAACTTAGCGCGAACTTAATTAAAATAAAGCGTCATCAATTACCAAGATCCCATAAGGCCGTGTCGATGGCATTTCTACAATATTCTGAGTTTTGTACTTCGTTGGTACAAGTCATTGTGTTCGTGCAATTAGAGTGCGGGGCGTTCTCAGTGACGTGTGCGAATTTAATGGTCTATGTTATTGTTTTTTAAACGAGGGGGGTGGGGGTGAGGTATGGAGTGATGGGGGGAAGGGGGGTAGTAAATGATTCGATTACAGTTTGATCGTATGATGTACATGTAGAAGTTAGTGTGAATCGATTTAGTCATTGTTATGGCTATCCTATAGCATACCAATATGTGCTCGGGAGGTTAGCTGACTTGAAATAATTTGTTGTTTTATATAACCTACTAATATTATAAATATGAAAATTGGTGAGGATGGGTGGATATTTGTTACTCTTTCATGCCAGAACAGCTGTACGGATCTGGATGACATTTAGTAGCACAGCTATAGATTATAGTCTGGAATAGTAGACAGGATACTATTAATCCCGGAAAATGTACGGTTCCCGTGGGATAGATTTGTTTTTATCTAGGAACGAACCCGAAGCGAGGATGAGTTTGCTAGTATTTTCTATATGTATTTGAAATATGTAAACTATTCCTAGTAAATGACTAGCTAAAATATTAAAAAAGCCGACCGTACCCACTCTTAGCTTACAAATAAACAAATAAACTCTATATAAGTATGTAATGATATTTTACTTTTTAATAAAAGTACAAAACGAACAAAGAAATAATGAAACACAAAACCCATAAAACGAAGCTCAAATAAAAAGCTACGCCCTCACAAAAGTATTTCATTAAAATAATACGCCATTATTATTCCATACAAACATACTTACAGGCCATTTTGAATCTCATTACACGAGTGAGACGGCAACAGTTTATTTATATCTTAATAAAAGGTTAGAGGGAGACGGTTATAGTTTATTCATTGCGTCCTTGGGGCAAGTAAGTTATAGAGACAGCTGGTTTGAATAATGTTAAGAGTTGTGTGCTTCATTGTACGTGTGTTTATTTTATTTTTTAATTCATACGCGCGCGGCAAATGGTCGATATAGTCTGAACATTAGTTAATTGTACATTGTAATAGTATTATATTAGTATTTAATATTAGGTCTAGAAGGCTGAAGGCTCGAATAATATATTTTAGATAATATAATGTCTTATGGCATTCTAATGCTTGGAGAATGTTTATAATACGATTTTGTTTTGTAGTATATGTAATTTATATATAACCTAGTACCTAAATCATCTTTAGGAGTAATTTACAATAACCATGACTCGTGGAGTTTACATAATATATATACATATACTAGTACTTACAAGGGTAGTGCTATTCTGTAAGACCCTAAACTCTACGGCTGAATTCGCGACCATACTTCATACAGCTAAATATGAAGTTAAGTCGCAGTTTTAACTTTCGAGTAAGATAAAATTTGTTACAAGATTCTAGAAAACGTTAAAAAAAGCTTCTATCGCATGATTAAAAAAATATTAAAGAACATTTGTAATCTAAAAGTTTTATATACAATTTTTTTCTATAAGATATTGTAATTCTACGCATTTTTAACGTTAAATTTATAAGTGTTTTACTTTACGTATCTACTTAATTATGTTATTGTAAACACTTTCATGTTACTAGAAGAAATGCTTAAATTTAAACTAAGCTTATTACATTACTCATATTCTTCATCTTCTCTACTGCGTGCTGTTTAACCCTTCAACTCCTATCTATCTGAAAGAGCGTTTTGAGTTTCTGGATGATTCCCATGCTCGTTCACTTCGCTCTGCTCAGAATTTCCTTCTTAAAATTCCTACTCACTCTTCCAGTTCCTTCACAAATTCTTTTACAGTAAAAGCTACTCGATTGTGGAATTCTATTCCTTTAAGCATTAGATCTGCTTAAAGCTTAGATAAATTTAAAAAGTTTTAAAAGATTATTAAGTATATGTCTTTTTAAGTCTTTCTCCTTAGTCCTTTCCACTAATATCATCGTTATTATTATTTCCTCTATTATGTTCTAGTATCTAATCCTATTTATTATTTGATTGATTTTTCTTTTTTATATGTGTGTGTGTAAATTTTACGCATATAAGTATGTATGAATGTATGTATGTATGTATGTATGTATGTATGTATGTATGTATATATGCATTTATATGTATATGTATCTATTTATTTATAAGTATTTATATATGTAAACGTGTCAAAGCAAGTACACCGCCTACCGTTTTTATGAACACTTACTCCTCCACCTCAAGGTTGCCTGGAAGAGATCGCTTCCAGCGATAAGGCCGCCTGCTGTGCATCTTTTCTTTGTGTTGTTTTTTATTTTATATTTATTTTTGGTGTACAATAAAGAATATTATTATTATTATTTAAGTAAGGGTCTCGCCCGTGACCACGACTGTTGTAAAAAAATTCAGAACTAGATACTGAACCCTTGTGCTAATTATATTACCGTGCGTGCGTCCCTAGGTATATCAGTAGCCTATCAGACTCCAGATTACGTCTAACCGGGATTGGAAGAAATTTTGAACATAGTAAGTAACAAAAGTTTCCAAAAGGTGGCGTTATCTTTATGTCCATATCCATACTAATATCATAAATGTGAAAGTGTGTTTATTTGTTTGTTTGTTTTTCTTTCGTCGAAACAGAGTGACGGATTGGCGTGATTTTTTTTATAGAGATAGAGAACTGGGGAGTGACATAGGCTACTTTTACCGCGGGAAATTATCTCATTCCCATAGGAAAGCACGTTATAATACAATCCTAAAAAATATTTATGATCAGAATTACTTAAAATTTGTTATTAATGCTCTTCAATACAATTAAATAAATATGTACGTGTTTTTCGAATTTAGTCCTATAAGGAGGTAAAATACCTAACCTAAAAGAAACCTACCGTTTTAGATTATATATAGCTTTTTATATACCTTTTAGATATAGATTTTTTTTGTAGTTTTAACGCGAGCGAGGCTGCGGGTTCTGCTAGTAAATTTATAAAAATAAAACTCACCCAAGGACAAACCCGAGAGAATTGAGAGTTGCTCGGCTAGTGTATCCTATAATAAACTATTTATTATAAAAATATTATTATAGAATCTTCGTATTAGAATAGATAAAATTACTGATATTGTGATAAAAAATATCGTAAGTGCTGACAAAGTAATTCTTTTATAACGTATCGATGAATCAAATAACTTCTCCCTAAATTAATTACACTTTGAACTCTAGCTATTTCATTACAGTTAAAATTATGAATGTCTCTACATTTATACGTAGAATGTATTGACAATAGATTCAATAGAAAAGCGGAGATAACTCTCGCTCACCGCTCTGTGCCGTCGTATATTAAATACAGTCGCCTAATTTAATTTACTGCTTTAAAATCAGGGTTGTCACTAAATTGTTAGAAAAATCTTATTTCATAAAACAGAAGTATGTTTTTTGTTTAGTGCATAAAATAGTTTATTTTGATAAATAGATAAGTTACATGAATGATTTATTGGAAGTTTTGGGAGTCTTTCATTTCTTTATCCTTATTATTTAAAAAAGTTAACAAATAGAATAATTTACAAAAAAAATAATGTGTTTAAATATTGTAATCGTATCGTAGTATTTAAATAAGTGGGGCTAGTAATACTCCATTTTGAACTGCTTATATAAAAACAAAATTAATTTAATGTCACAAGCTTATACATACGATCAATAAAAGTTTTGCAATATTTTAGTAAAAAAACAAATTTCTATAATGATGAGACAACCCTGAGCAAGCCACCGTATGATTGCATTGCAATAGAATACTAATTCCTTACCAAATTGCATTTATTCACACTAATTTGAACTTTAACCCTCAATTATAAGATTTCATTTACAATACACATCCAAATAATAGAGTCGCCCTACAATTGGTTTTATTGTTACCACCCGCCGATTCAAAGTACTATGATTTTCTAATACATAGTTGAATTTGAACTTAAATTCAAAGTTATAAGGTTGAAATTAGTTATGAACGGTTTCGGTAGTAAATAATAGGTGTCGCAAACAATCGGCCGGCAGAAGGGTGGCATTGTCAGTATCGCTAATCACTCGAGAATGGCGAGCGAATTAAGGGTTGCGATGTTTATTAAATTCGGTTTATTGGATTTTGTGTTACTAATAACTAGTTTATTGGCTGTGGGAGCTTTATTTATTACTTGTCTTAATAAATTATTTAATAGTTCTTTGTTTATGACAGTTAAGTGTGTCAGATGAGGATTATTTCTATTTGACATGTGGATGAACGATGTTATGATCTCAATACGCCTGTTTTAATTTAGATTCAAATTAATATTAACATAGGAAGTTAAAAAAATATTAATACTTAAAAATAATGTAAACTTTGTTAATAATTACAACAACAGAAACGAATTATTTCGATTGACATAAAACTGTGGACGGAAATCACTTAATTTATTATCTTCCATACGAATTTCAGCATCGTAATTCAGGTATTGAAATTTTGGTTGTTAAACTATACAATTGCAGTGACATTGAAAATATAATCTCTCTTTATTGTCCTCCGTCTGCTGACACATGTCAAGCTGATTGGGAACATCTTTTCTCTAGTTTTAATAAAAAGACGCTATTATTGGGTGATTTTAACGGGCATCACACAAATTGGTCAAATAGAAATGATACTAGGGGAAATCAAATTATAGATGCTTTATTAGATAAACAGTTTATAATACTAAATAATGGGGATTTTACGCGAATTCAATTGGTAAATAGTACGTGTCGACAGTCCTCTCCAGATATTTCATTGGTATCCTTGGATATAGCTCTTAAATTTGACTGGAAAGTTTTAAATGAAACTCTAGGCAGTGATCACTGCATAATTAAAATTTCTACATATTTTATTTCGAATTTAGAAAATACAGCTCAAAGAAATTTTAAAAAAGCAGATTGGAAATCTTATACAGAACTATTAGAAAGATTATTTTTAGAGTTTAATGTGTCTAATGATTTGCAACACCTATACGATAGTTTTGTAGAAATCATGTATCTGGCAGCCGATATCTATATT